AATGTTTCTTTCACCCACCAGCTACTAGCGGCTGAACCCTTTTGCAAGCTTTCTGTGGCCTCGGTGTTGGAATAACTTTTCAGTGTAACTGAAGCACAGAAATAGAAAGAAAAACTGGTAGTGTGGGATGATGGGATAATGCAAGCTCTCTCATGCCCAGGTGTGCCGCTTGATCAGATGATGGTGTAACGCAGCCTTTGCCAACCGTACGTCGTACAGGTGAGTTGGACTACAATCTGAAACATTCCCAGCCGGGGGATAATGGGAGTTGTAGTCCAACAAGTGTTGTGGGTGCAAGGTCAGGGAAAACTTGTATGCAACTTCGGCATCTATATGCATCTGTCTGGATTTACATCCCACGGAACTCACTTTTGAGTAAACTCATAGAAGCTAAAAGAGTATTTATAAGGATTCTTAAAGGATTCTGCTCCTCCCTCACACCCTGTGACATTCAACTGGATTTGAAACTGTCTCTCTCTACCCTGAAAGGATTTGTATGTTTTGCAAAATTATTGAAACTGGGTATGCCATCAGATGGTGAGAAAGGATCATATCCGGTCACCTCAGAAAGGGCTTCTTTGTCTGAAGTGATCCCCCCTTAAAGTGACCCATTTGTTCAATGGGGGAATTGTTTCAGCCAGCCCCCCTCCTCCAAATACTACCCCTGCTGCTGGACATGCGCACAGATTAGGGTTGGGCTGGAGCATAATTACTCCTATGTCATGTGATCGCTGGGAAATCACTTGCCCCGGACCGTGCCACCAGTAGTCCGAAATGCAAGCCGTTTCCGCATCTGATCGCACCCTGGCTCATCGTAAAAATTCTTCCAGGTACAAATGCACACTTAGGTTGTTGGAAGTGACACCCATTGAACTCCCTTGGGCATCAACGTCCCTGAGATCCTTCCTCAAGGACCGGTTGTATTATATTTCACTCTTGGTCTATTTTGTGGTTTTCAGTACTGTGTTACAAGCTAGATGAGGATAGCTGGTGGAATCTTCTGATCTCCCTCTTTGGAAGGAATGGTCGCCTAAGTTTTGAATTCCATCCAAGCTACATACCCTAGCAAACAAATAAGTTCCCTTTTCTATTAATGGCCCCATTGCAAGTGCTCTCCTTTAATTTTTGGATCATTTACTATTTTTAGCTTTTACTGTTGTCTATTGAATGATGTACGATGTCCCTTTTTTTAGGAGTAAGGCGGGGTAAAATAGTTTAAACAAATAAAAATTAAGGGCCGCCTTCAAATTCTAGCATTCACTGTTGTTGCAAGGTGGAAAGAAAAGTCACGCTGGTTTGCAAATCTGTCTTTACCCGGGAGGAAGGATTTGTGGTCTTGGGTTGTAGCTTCAGATACAATTCCTGTTTCAGTTTTCATGCCATGATGAGTTACTAGCAGCGACATGAATAATTACTCTCTGCCCAGCTTCATAGCTGGACAGATCCGTAGGTGAACTTCATATGGAAATGTGAGTTCTGATGTTGTGGGGCTTCTTTCCCTTGCAGATGATGAGGATGATGGAGATTTTGCAGGTGGGGCAGTGAGCGAAAGGGAAGGGCTGTCTGCTGCCAGCATTGTGAAGGACAAAGAGATACCACATGGCTATGAGCTCAGTGTACCAGGAGGGGATTCAGCCAGCCAACACCACATGCTAGTTTAATAGTCTGTTCAGATGAAATATGGGAGGGTGTTACTTGGCTTTGCAGCGTTGGGGTTTATTCTTGGAAAACGCAGCTTTTGGCTACAAATCTTTCACATGCGATCCATGCTTTTAACGGTCTTATTTCCCAACACGTCTGCTTGACAGAATAATTGTGTGCTGTCAAGTCAATTCCGATTTATGGTTGACTCTGTTTGCTAGGTAGACTGCACTCGGAAGTGGTTCCCTTCCCCCTTCTTCTGACCATGCTTTTGGATTTTGCAAGCTGACCCAAAGCAAGGCAGGCTAGCTCTCGTCCTGGGACACACAACGGGGGAGTCAAACTCCTGACTTCTGTCTTTCGGGACTGGTCCCAAACTCACTGAACTGTCCAGACACCTCCACCTTTTGTTGCTGTTATGTGGCATCAAGTTGTCTCTGATTTAGGTCGAGCCTGTGAATGAGCGATCTCCAAGCAGCCCTGCTCAGCTCTTACAAATTCAATCCTGTGGCTCCCTTTAGGAAGTCAACCCATCTTGTATTGGGTCTTCCTCTTTTCCTGCTGCTTTCCACCTTTCCCAGCATTATTGTCTTTTCCAAAGAACCCTGCCTTCTCAGGATGGGCCCACAGTGGGACAGCCTCGGTTTCAACATTTTTGGCTCCAGAGAGAGTTTCTTTTGTTAGATGAGCTTTATTCAGTTGCAATGTGGGCACAAAGGTCTGGCTAGACCAGGTTAGCTCAGCAGCTTCCCTGCTGAGATCTTTATGCCCATTAGGAACAGAACACACTTTGATTTTCTTTCCTTGAAACAACAACAAAATAGTGTATTCACGAAGGCTTTCACGGCCAGGATCTGATGGTTGTTGTCGGTTTTTCGGGCTCTTTGGCCGTGTTCTGAAGGTTGTTCTTCCTAACATTTCGCCAGTCTCTGTGGCCATGGGCATCTTCAGACGACACCAATTAGTTCTGTTTTTGTTGCCATTTTGCAATTAAATTGCTTTTAACTATGGTTTATGGTTCATCTATTGAAGAATGTTTGTGTATTCTTTGAACTGTAGGGTAACTGTGCAAGTGAGCAGCAAATTTATAGTTTTGAATTGGTCACTCATACCGAAGTACTAGCTCTGTGTCTTTTTCCTTGGTTGAGCCACTCTGAATTACTTGTTGGGAATTCTCCTGCACATTTTACTTTTTTTCTTTAGCTGCTCTCTTCCAGCCTCTGCCCAATTCTACTGTTTCTGTCCAGAGGTTGCGACTGTCACACAGTGCATTTATTTATTTTGCTACGGCCTATGTGGAAGCTGGCTGCTCAGGGAGCTCAGTGGGTTGGGGGCCTTTCTGTGGAGCCAGGAGTTGCGAGCTCAATCACCCACTGTGTATCCTAGCAAAAGAGCCAGCCTGGGTAGCCTTGGGCAAGCTGCTGTCCCAGATCGCGTGCCGAAGTAGGAGTGGTAGCCAGCCTTCTGAGTACAGTGGTGCCTCGCATAGCAACATTAATCCGTGCAGCAAAAATCGCTGCTAAGCGATTTCATCACTATGCAATTTTAAAAAGCCCATAGAAACACATTAAAACCTGTTTAATGCGTTCCTATGGGCAAAAAACTGACCTTAAAGCGAAGATCCTCCTACAGCAGCCATTTTCACTGCCTCTAAAGCGAGGAGTCCATGCAAAAACACAGTGGGTGGCCATTTTTTTTTACCCAGTGGCCATTTTGGAACCGCCGATCAGCTGTTAAAAAATCATCACTTTGCGATCATCGGTAAGTGAAACAGGGAACTGATCATCGCAAAGTGAAAAAAACCCATAGGAAACATTGCAATGCGATCGCTTTTGCGATCGCAAAAAGTTAATCGCTATGCGGTTTTGTCGCTAAACGAGGCATCATTGTACTCTCTACCTAAAAAATCCTGGAAGGGGATGGTATAAGTCAGGATCAACTTGATGGCACAATTAATTAACGGTGAAGCCATCAAGAGCTGAAGGCAGTTCCCTTCTTCCATGTGGTGAGAAGCCCCTCGGGCAAAAAATTCCATGGGTTCCAGACTGTTTTTGTCACTCATGGGAACTTTTATTAGAGGCATTGACTGACGGAAAATAAAGGTGGATAGATTTTATTTAAGGCATAGAGTCAGCCCCAATTGCCCCTCTCCCTCCATGTTCCCAGAGAATTGAGTTACCAGCACTAAACCCCCTGGATGTAGTCCGTCCAGCTGGGCTCCCCCATTGACTTCACCAAGGTTCCTGAAAGTCCAAGTCTGGAGAAGTGAACAGGAAATATGAATTCTGATTGGTGCACTTTTTTAAAAGGAGGGCAGGTAAATGCTGGTGATGGACTATGTTTCTGCAGGGTTCCTCCTCCCAGAGCCTCCTTGGTTGTGATTGTTACCTATTGCGTCTCCACCACCGAAGCTTGGTTAGAGTAGGTGCCTTGACTCCTGTAAGGTGGCAAGAATGCCAAAGTTGGGCATGGCGTTGGATCAGAGGGCTGCATTGTTAGAGCCTCGGCTCACTGACCCATGGCAGAATGGGCTGGGTGGGAGTCCACTTGTCCCTGTTTGCAGAGGGAGAGGAGTCAGTTTGGTTGTGTGTGTGTGTGTGTGTGTTTTAGCGTTGCACAGAAATTTGTCAGCTAATGGTGATGAATTCTTCATAATAATTGCCAAGTTTCCATGGAATCCCAATGTTGCCCAGAATATAACTTGTGAAGCAATCCACCCACTTAGTTCAGAAACAGGAAACTTGGGGGGGGGGGTGTTGGACCAACAATCCTCACATTCTGGGAGGCTGGGGCAATCTGATGTCCAAAATAACTTTCCCAAGCTTCGGGAGAGGTGATTTCCCAAACAGGAGATTGAGTAAGAGTTTTTCTTGCACAATATTGTGGCGATAGGTTTGCTGCTTACCAATGCAACCTTTCTTCCTCCTCATATTATTCATCATTGCATCTGGTTCCCATTCTATTATTAGAACTGCCTCCAGTGTTTATCAGTGTTATTTCTTCATCCTCCCCAGTGACACCGTATAGGAGACAAATTGACACCTCAAATTCCATGCGCTTAATCTGGGAGGAATGACTTGTCGTCTGTTGTTGGTTCCACAGTTTCACGGGGATTCTGGGTGCTGCTAGATGCTGATAAAGATGAGATGCAAGTAAAACACATCTCACGAGCAACGTCCAGGCTGGGCAACCTTCTCGTGTAGAACTCACATCTCGGAGACGTTACTGTGTTGAGGGTGGGGAGTATCACAAGTCTGAGAATCTACAAATATCCCGCTCATCTGGTCAGATCGACCACATCTCGAACTCACATCTCGAAGACGTTACTGTGTTGGGGGTGGGGAGTATCACAAGTCTGAGAATCCACAGCTCCTGAAAGCTAGGGGGTTGCGATTGAATCACAGCTCCGACAAGTTAAGAGGATCCAGGACTTTCCATCTCACAACGTAACTTCTAATCGTTCATTGAGTTTCTTCAGTTGCAGCTGAAACAGAAACTCTTAGTGTTCCAGCATTCTCAAAGCACATGATCTTCAACATGCAACGATGGTAGTCAGAGGAGGGGGGATGTGGCTGCATTTGTGTCAGTTCCTCATAGGAACCATAATGTGAAGAGATTGTGGTTGTGTCTCATGTGGGGAGCTTACACAAATACTTTAGTGGCCTGGTCATTTTCAAAGCAATGTGGAAGGTGATGATAGCACACACTTGGCGATAATAGTGAAGATTTAAGGCTACATAGATAACTCAGTGGTTTCTGCATCTGGTTGGGAGTTTGATTCCCCACTGTGCCTCCTGCAAAATAGAGCCAGCCTGTGTAGCCGTGGGCAAGCTGTACAATATATATAATTTTGTTCCACTATTTTTTATTATGTTAGCTAGCTGGATAGCTGAGTGGTTTCAGTATCTGGCTGCGGAGCCAGAGGTTGGGAGTTTGATTCCCCACTGTGCCTCATGTTCGTAGAGCCGGCCTGTGTAGCCTTGGGCAAGCTGTACAATATAGTGTATATAATTTTGTTCCACTATGTTATATTATGTTAGCTAGCTGGATAGCTGAGTGGTTTCAGTATCTGGCTGCGGAGCCAGAGGTTGGGAGTTTGATTCCCCACCGTGCCTCATGTTTGTAGAGCCAGCCTGTGTAGCCTTGGGCAAGCTGTACAGCCCCAGGGCACCCTCTGAAGAAGGGAAAGAGAAACTACAAGCTGTACAGCCCCAGGGCACCCCCTGAAGAAGGGAAAGAGAAACTTCTTCTGAGTATTCCCTTCTTGAGGTCCCTATACACCAGAAACGACTTGCTGGCACATGATGATGATGATGATGATTAGAGCCCACTGCCTTGCTGGCACATGATTATTATTATTATTAGAGTCCACTGGTTGTAACTTTCCCCTCGATTCTCTTCTCTTTGGCTGGAGTTCTCTTTTCAAAGAAAAAAAGTAGAAGCAGTTTATAGCTTAGGGTAGAGCATCAGTGGCAGAAGAAAGGGATATGAACCTTTCTGCTGCTGCTTGTATTCAAATTACTAACTTGCCATTTGCTTTCATCTAGAACAGTGGTTCCCAATCTTGAGCCCCCAGATGTTCTTGGACTACATCTCCCAGATGCCTTCATCGCTAGCTGTGCTGGCCAGGATTTCTGGGAGTTGAAGTCCAAGAACATCTGGGAACTCAAGGTCAGAAACACTTATCTGGACAGTAAAAGATACAGATCCTGTAGCCAAAGGATTAAGCTGTCTTTCCACCCCATGGCTATTCTTCCAACTGAGGAACAAAAACAAAGACTAGATGTGAGAGAAAACACACTTAGGGCCAAAACATACATTCAGAGAAAGAAGTCTTTCTTGGTTTTGCCATTAGCAAGTTTTGTTGTGCATAATTCTGGACCCAGAAATACAAAGAAAGCTGTTGTTCATGCTTCAGAAACAACGCTAATAACAGGCCTCTTGCTATTCTTAAGACGTTAGTACAATTGCACCTTTTTGCCCAGTTGAAGGAGCACTCCCTTTAGAGATGGATTTCTCTGCATGTGTGAATTGACTCCCCAGTTGAGTGTAAAGTTGTACACTATTTCAAGCTCCCCTCCGGACCTTTTGGTGGGTAAATGAGACGTTTTGAACACTCTGCCTTGATATGCTAGAAGGAATTGTTGTTAAACCCTGCCCTGAACACTCTTGGAAGAGAAGCAATGAGTATCTGGCATTGTGTCCTGGCATCTAGTAATCTGTCAAAAATTTGAGTCCAGAATAAAAACTAATTCTGACAGGTGCTGTGCAGGTCTGATGTCCCCAATTGAGCCCAGCTCCAGAAAATCCTAACCACAGGAAGAGGATCCAAAAATTAATATGACATGCCATCTTGAAAGAGTTTGGCCACATGATCTGCTGGAGATGGCGGTGACTTTATAACAAACACCAAAAGTGTCCTTTCTCTTTCAGTTTTCTTTCCCGGGTGTCACAAAATGTCATCTAATCTGCTACCCATCATTACGCAGAAGGATCTGGAGAGTATTTGCCTGACCAAGACTGGGTCAGGCTTCGCTCTCAGAGCTTTCCACGCGCCTCGGAATACAGATGTTTCCTTGAAGCTCCTGACAAGGCAGAATGCAACAGAGAGGTGGGTCTCCTCTTCCTCCCTTTCCGCTTTCTTTGCTCCTTGGAGAGTCGCTCTGATTCCTGCGAAACATCACGGCGCTTCCTGTCCCAGAGGAAAACTTCCACCGCCATGCTGCAAATGGACCCGAAAGAGAGTAGTAAAGAGGAATAGCTGCAGTTAGGTGTCAATGTCTATGGATCAATGGAATCTAGCCTCTACTGATCGGTTATTTATAAAGCATACAGTGGACCCTTGACTTACAGATGGCTTGACTTACAGACTTTTTGAGTTACAGACTTCTCTGGCCGCAAAATTTAGGTTTGACTTGCAACCTGAGAATTGACCTAGAGACCAGAAAAAAAACCAAAATGGAACAAAAACGGCCTGTTACGGGATTAATCAGTTTTCAATGCACTGTAGATCAATGGAGACTTGACCTACAGACTTTTTGACCTGCAGCCACTGTTCCAATACAGATTAATTCCTTAAGTCAAGGGTCCACTGTAGTTTGATCCGAAGCTGAATTGCTCCATCAAACAAGGGCAGATGGTTGGAGTCACCGTCAGAGGCATAAAGCTTGCTCATATCATTTATTAAGCGGAGAGATCATCACCCATATGCAATGTATGCATTGGTGAGTGACAGAGTAACAGGGTGTGTCTAGACAGGGAGATCATTCCTGCGCCTCCGCCCACAGATCAGGCTAAATAAAGCTTGAAAGGGTAGCCTGGAAATGCATTATAATATTTAAATTGGTGCTTCCATTCAAACACAATGATGTACTTTCCTAAAGTGGTTTCAAGACAAGAAACTTTAAATTACTGCCACTCTCAAGAGGTTTTTTTACCCCCCCCAAAAAAAATCCCCAACCCTCATGTCCTTCCAGCCTATAAAGTCTGGAGAGAGAAACAATATCTTTTTTGTTTGCTTGTTTGTTTATTTTCATTTCTTTGGAAAAGCGATAGTGCAGAATTGAACCAAAAAGAACAAAAAATTTAAAAGTGTTGGGAAACAGAATTAAATCAAATAGCTTCAACTGGCATCAGAAAAAACAGTCACCCCTACTGGTGATCTAAAAAAGGTCCGATTTGATATTGAAAAAGACAAGGCTAATTCATGAATAGCGTTACATACTGTGTACATGTAAGGACAGATTGCGCTTCGCTGGGTCATCAGCCGACTGAAATGAGGGATGAAAGGTAGTGTAGCCACCCTCTTATCTGCAAGGCTGAAATTAATGTTTTAAATACTTGATTCTCCACCTTTGGAGCGCTTACCAGCACTCTGTCGAAAAACGAAACCTTTAAAACGACATCTTCTAAAAGGTGTAATTTTAGAAGAGGTTGTTGTATTAGTCTATGTGTGCATTTAAGGCAAAAGCAAAATAACGAATTAAAAAATAAGGATGACAATGTCGAAAAACGAAACCTTTAAAACGACATATTCTAAAAGGTCCAGATAGGTGGGGTATAAATTAAATAAATAAATAAATAAATAAGTCTATGTGTGCATTTAAGGCAAAAGTAAAATAACGAATTAAAAAATAAAGATGACAAAGATATTGAGGCACCTTAAAGACTAATTGCTATATTTTAACACCAGTTTTCATTGGCAAGTTCAGACTGAAGAAGTTGATCCACGAAAGCTTATATTAAAATATAGTAGTTAGTCTTTCATGTCTTTGTCAAAGTCTTTGTCATCTTTATTTTTATGTACTGTGTATGTGTTTTAAATCATTCTATTTTGCCTGGTAAGGGAAAGGGAAAGGTCCCCCTTGACATTTGGTCCAGTCATGTCCGACTCCAGGGGATGGTGCTCATCCCCGTCTCCAAGCCATAGAGCCTAAGACCATTTCCGTGGTCACAAGGCCAGCGCGACTAGACACAGAACACCATGACCTTCCCACCGAGGGGGTACCGATTTTTCTACTTGCATTTGCATGCTTTTGAACTGCGAGGTTGGCAGGAGCTGGGACAAGCGGCGGGCGCTCACTTCGTCGCGTGGATTAGATCCTACGACTGCTGGTCTTCTGACCTTTGCAGCACAGAGGCTTCTGTGGTTTAACCCGCAGTGCCACCACGTCCCTGTTGGCTAACATGTTCTAAAAGGCAAGAAAAAGAAGACCGAAATGGGCAGTTACTCTGGGAAGACAAACCACTGAGTAAATTTGCAGTCCTGAATAATTTTGTTCACTTTGCCTGGAAGATTAATTGCAAAAGCATGTGTTGTCTGCGTCCCCTCTCCCTTCTCCCCATGGCTAATATGTTTGCAGAGATCTGAAGGCCCTTCTTGAAGAGGTGGCTGGCACTCAGCGGATCATCCAGTGCAAGAGGCTGATGCCTCTTCTTGGCATCTGCCAGTTCCAGGGTGTTCTCGGGATTGTCTCGGAGTGGATGCATCACGGCTGTCTCCATGCACTCATTCATGAGGTATGTGTGAAAGGAAAACTACCCTTCTCATTTCCTGCTGGTGGTTGCTTCTCTGGAGTGTGTGACTTAACTACAGCAGGAGCTGAATACTGGACTAGATCAGTCTTCAGCCTGTTCCAGCCGTGCACTTATGTCCTTCTGTTTCCCTCTCATCCTGAGTAGTTTTTCTCTTCTTCTACAAAATAATTTTAGAACCTGAGAAAGTTACTCTTTAGATTCCTGGATTCCAGAACTAACTGTGCTGGCTAGGGGAGGTGTCGTCGAAACATTTGCCCAGAAGTAGCCACATCAGTCTGTTTCAGATGTATATAAAGCAACAAAACACTCCACAAATAAAGTCTTGCAGACTTTTTAAGAGACTTATTGGAGAGTGAGAATTCATAGGTTTCAACTTATTTTTGAAAGACCAAATCAATACATATTTAGACTACAGATCTATGTATTATATTTATATACCTGGTCAGGATCAAAGAGAAAAGGGATACAGAAGGGGAGAAAGTTGTCAAAAATGGGAGAGACAGAAGTTGTATTTTTGCATTGCAATGATAATCCAGGTTGCAAATCTTACCTGAATGAGTAGTATGCTGGAGCACACAGATTATTATTACTTACAATGACAATAAATTATATTATTATGTAGTATGCTGGGGCACACAGATTATTATTGGTAGCTGATAAAACAGCCTGGGATATTTGCTTCATGTGATGTCCAGGATCCTGGTTTGTTTCTTTGAAATAAGCCAAGATTTGTAAACCAACAACAAAACATGGATTATGGTCCTGGTTTATATGTCTAGCACTCTATAAACGGGGTTCTAGATTTGGGCAGGGAAGTAGAAAGAATAAACTAGAATTTGGCAGTACTTCTGGCTTACACCATTATACATGACCCTACAAAAAAGTTTCTATGCTTTGATTTTTTTCTTCCTCTTAGCATGAACTTTACCCGCAGCTGCCTTTTCCTCTGTGTGTAAGAATCCTATCAGATGTGGCCGAAGGTCTAAGTTACCTACACGGTTTGGAGCAGCTCATCCTTCACCACAGCCTGAAGCCCTCCAATGTCTTACTGGATCTGGAATACAGAGCTAAGGTGGGCTTTGCCTAAGCATTTCCAACCGTCCTCATTTTTGCCTTTTAATAGATAGCGAAATGGAACACTTCTAGCTGAGTGAACAAGATGGTACGATAGGGATCTCATTGCACAAGTGATTTGCTGAGCTCGCTGGCAGCGCTTCCTGTTTCTTAAATTCCATTTCCTTCTTGCAGATATCAGATTACGGACTGGCCACCTGGAGAAAGCAGCAAGTAAGGTCTCTCTTGCAGAACTGCAACAACCACAGTTGCTGGGATTTGCTTTGTCTCTCCCCCGAAATCCTGCAGGGAGGGAACTTCTCGCAAGAAGGCGATGTTTACAGGTGAGCTTCTCTGGCCCTTGGAAGCAACCACTTGCAAATCTCTTAGTAGCTTTTGGAGAATGACCTGCGTGAATAGGTAGTGGTGCTACTTTTCAAGTGCATGAAGCAACAAGTCAGTTTTTCAGGCGTAACAAGTAACTTGCAATTATTCTCAAAAGTTACTTTGTAAAAAGACATTCTGACTGGCATTTTTCAAGTTTATGTTATGGGTTTATGCCGTCCTCTCCTCAAAACTTCCAGTTTTGTCTTTTGTCTTACGAATACAAAAGGGGAAAAACAAGAGATCTCTTCCAGAATATCCAAGAAATCATTAGGAGATTTAAGGCTAGGTTTGGAATGCTGAAAGACCAACAGGGGAGCGCAGTATCCGATCAGGAGAAAATACAGAGCAGGTGGAAACAGTATACTGTACATGTGTCTTTTTGTTGGTACAAAGGAGCAGCTTTTTATTCGTGTCCTCATAATTCCACTGAAATAAAGGGGAGCCAAGTGGCCCGTGCAAAATAAAATACAAATGCAGGAATAGGTGGTACCTTTACGGATGACTGAAAAAAATACACTATGCAAGCATTTGTGGATCAAAACACCAAAAATAAAATACAAATGCAGGAATAGGTGGCACCTTTACAGATGACTGGAAAAAAAATTGTCACACATTATGCAAGCATTCATGGATCAAAACATCTCTCCTTTGGCCTTGTACAAGAACGTATCACACAAGTCTTCTTTGTTTCCATGGAATGACATTTAAACAAGTATTTCTAGAGAGCAGAACTGACCGCTAGAGGGAATCAGAGAACAGTCTTTTGTAATTTTTGGCCTCTTGGGAACAGCAATACAACCAATTACTTGCACGGCCAGAGCACCAATAACAAGAACAGCATGCTGTATATAATTTTATATAACCGAAGCCCCTTCTCCCACTGCTTTTTCTACTCTGTTTTTTTTCCTAAGCTTAAGAGGTTCAAAGACTCTTTACCCTCGAGAAGCTCATGTTTTCAGGAAAAAAATCCATCGAGGAGGAGAAATGCAGGAAAGGGTTCTTGTGTAAAGATTTCACAAACTTGTACTTTAGATAGGATGTATTCTGAACTAAAAGGTGTTTTTCTCTTGATATGTTCCTAGCTTTGGAATGATGTGCTGGGAAGTCCTAAGCAGACAGAAACCTTTCAAAAGTAAGCATTTGGGTTCCTTTTCTGGTTGTTGTTGCTGTTTCCACATTTGCTTTCCCTAATGCAACTTTTAATAAAGCACTTGACTTGTTTTTTTTTAATATATTGCATAGCCATTACCTGAGTCTTTTTCTTCTGCCTCTCACATGAAAGAATGTCTGCAAAAGTGCAATGATTTTTTTTAAAAAAATATGCAATGATTTGGCTTTATTTACTGCTACTACTGCTGATGTTGTCACGTTCCCACCTGTCCCTTAGTTGTTTCACCACACAAGCATGCAAGCTACATGTCGTTCAGCTGCCACCGGCTGATTACATCAACATTATGTATTATTAATAATAGAGGTCCAGACCATGTGTCATTTTAAATAGAACCAAATGGATGTTGTTTATTAATACAGGTGATGAAGGTACAATCAATGTCTTCAACTCTTAACCAGACCTCCCACTTCATCCACCCTCAAAACCACACAAGCATGCAAGCTACATGTCGTTCAGCTGCCACCGGCTGATTACATCAACATTATGTATTATTAATAATAGAGGTCCAGACCATGTGTCATTTTAAATAGAACCAAATGGATGTTGTTTATTAATACAGGTGATGAAGGTACAATCAGTGTCTTCAACTCTTAACCAAACCTCCCACTTCATCCACCCTCAAACGCCAACCCTCTCTCTATCCACCCCAAACTTCCAAAACTCCAACTCTACAAGCTAATTTCCTCCTGCAGAGAACCTTATATCTTGTAACTCCGCCTCTCCAGCACTCTGATTGGTCCATGCAGATAGCACATGAATATTCATGACTTGGGCGGATGCCACAGTAGTCATCATCACTCTTATTATCATGACTGCTGCTGCTCCTGTTCCTATTAAAGTTGGGCCTGCAACAAAATGTTGTTGTACGGAGGGCAGCATCTGTTTTCGATCATCCCAGAGAGATAGATACATAAAAATGGGCTTGAGGTATGGGAAGTTGGATTTAGGCTGAACACCAGGAGAAAAATTCCCAAATTAGAGCCGTACGACAACAGAATCCATGACCTTGGGAGGTGGTGAGCACTCCAACGCTGGAGGTATTCAGGAGAAAATTGGACCGCCATCTGTCAGATCTGCTTCGATTTGGATCCCTGCCTTGAGCAGGGGGTTGGACTGGATGGCCTTAGAGGCCCCTTCCAGCTCCATGATTCTAGGATTCTATGACGTGGCTCCTGTTCAGGGTGCCAGCCAGCCTGGCATGCCTGCTGTTGGAATACTCCATGCCATTTCCTGGTTCCCGGTCTTCCTTCTTCCTCTGCCTCAACAGTTAGCCAGTCTATGCCCAGACAATGTCAAAGGTTGCAATCCTATAGACATATACCTGAAAGTGCAATTAGTGTCATGATGGGCTTAATTGTATGTAACCACGCAGTGGAGTGCTCGGCATGGTGACCTTTGAGATTGCCATCTCTTACCTCTTGAGGTTCCTCCTCCTCCTCCTCCTCCTCAGCTTGGCAACGAAGCTTCTTGCATCAGCTGTCGGTAAATCCAGGAAGCCACATGAGTCATGGTTGGCTCACCAACTGTTACTTTCTCTATGACCTCTAATCATCAGCCGATGGCAATAGACAAGTCAGATTAGGCAGGGACCAGCCTTTCACTTATGAGAAATATCAACACCTTTTGCAATTTGATCCTCTCCGGTCTATGCTCAAGCTTTGACTGCTATAGCCATTATCTCCCGTCACGACAAGCGAGAACCACTGAAAATCTATGGAAAATAAAACTTTCACCCTTGGCTTAATGCTGTCCCCTTGAGGCTGTTGTGTGCTTTCTTTGGGCATCCGTTCTGCACTGTCAAGGTAAGCGAGCTATTTAAGGAGCCAGAGGTTTGGAGTTTGATTTCCCACAGTGCATCTCAGGAGAAGAGCCAGCCTGGGTGGCCTTGGGCAAGTTGCACAGTCCCAGGGTGCCCCCTAGAGGAAGGAAAGGGTAATACACCTCTGAGTACTTTCTATCTAGAAAACCCTGAATGAAGTAGTCAGAATTTATCTGACAGCACACTATTATTATTCTTTACCGGTGCCACCCCTTCCAAGGAGTTCCCATAGGCAAGCAGAGATTTAAACCCAGCTGTCCTGAGTCCTACTGCAGCACTCCATTCACTGCATCATACTGGGTTCTGGAAATAATACCATGCCCAATGTGGGTCTTGAACCCCCAACCCTGAGATTAAGAGTCTCACACTCGACTGATGGAGCTAGCTGAACGGCGGAGATACAACTGGACCCTCCTTGACCTGTCCTTGGCTGAGGCTTTTGTTTCAGTCCTCCTGCAACTTTTGTAAAAGTGTGTGTTTCTTTTCCTGATGTAGACAAGAAGACTTTGCTTGAAGCGGTGACTGGCGTTTGCAGTGGGATGCATCCTGGAATTGAACCGGAATTCATACCACAAAGCCTCCCACATCGCAACAAACTGCTTCACCTCATTGTTCTGTGCTGGCACCAGGAACCCTCTTATAGGCCATCTGCAGCAGGTAATCCTTCTTCTTCATCATCATCTTTGAACTGCAGAGCTGGAAGGGACCCTATGGATTATTGAGTCCAAGAGTCCTGTCAAAGAGGCACAGCGGGGAATGGAACTCCAAACCTCTGGCCCCACATAGTGGCTTGCAGAATATTTGGCTGCCGATTCATAGGTTAGATCTGAAAAGAAAGGCAGCTGTTGAAGAAGGACAGATGCAGCAAGGAAGCAAATCAGATTCTTTTAACATATTTGTTGGGTTCTCCCATTCTGCATGAGATACACTCTACCCCAGAAGGATACCATCGGGTGTGGTGCTTGAGCAACTGTGACTTAGTATGTTATTTGTATGTTTGGAATGCTCCCGTGTATTCCATACAGGGCTGCCCTTGAAGTCTTCGGAAGTTACCCCTGGTATTGAATGATGTAACCATCTCCTTTTGAAAGAGTTGGGCTCTAAATGGGACTGCAAGCAAAAAGGTGCCTTTTTGAATGCAGAATACCTTTGTCTCAATATATAGTTCATGCCTTTTCCTTCTGCAGAATGCAAAGCGCTTCTACAAGATGTACTTAGCACATATAGGAAGGAGGAGATTTCAGACGCGATATACAATCTGATGCATGCAAAGGTGAGTCATCCCCACTGGTGTTTGGAACGTGTGTCACCCTGTAATTGTTTTACTTGATCCATTTCTGGGATCAAGTCAAAGCGTTGATTTGGATCTGTAAAGCCACTTATATTTGGGGGACTCTTGGCATTTGAAAGGTTTGCCTGTCCCATATGAGTATTTCCCTGGTCCCTAAAATCATCAGCCAAGGTTCTCCAGAAATGTAAGCTTTGAAGACACGGGACTTGTCACTTTGCTCCTCACCAAAACTACCATTGTAATAGTTTCTTTTCATCTTCACTGCCGCAGCAGCTTCGTCCCGCAATAAATTCAAATGTTATACTATTTCTCTTTCTCATCTGGTGGACTTGAAAGCTTGCCGAATGTGTAACTTTTAAGTGATTCAGTAAAGATAGTAATCATTATCATCATGTTTATTAATAAGTTAAATAAATTAAGAATAAATAAGTTAAATAAGTTAAGTTTAATAAGTTAAAGTAGGGCTTTAATAGAAGAACAACCTTCAGAACACGGCCAAAGAGCCCAAAAAACCCACAACAACCAGCTTTAATAGTACTTTCTAGGCAGAGACTACTCAGAAGTGGTTTACGGTTATGTCTGCGACGGTACAGCTTGCCCAAGGCCACCCAGGCTGGCTCTGTTCCCAAGGGTCACAGTGTGGGGATTCAAACTCTTGACCTCTGGTTCTGCAGTGGGAGACCTTAACCACTGAGCTATCCAGCCAACTACAGTAAAGATAACCCTCAAATAATAATGTTGTTCCTATGACTAGACTCCATAACATCATTTTCTACTTATTATTATTAATTTCATTGATTTTTTTTAAAAAATTAATAAACTTTTTTAAAAAAATGTTTTTTATTTTCCGTAACTAGTTATATGAAGCGTTTCGTCCATTAACGCTAATTCATGGGGTACATTTCTTTTTCAGGATTGTGCCGTAGCTGCTGCCAAAGGCCCAGGATCTCATGTTCTTGGAACCGACATACACAATTTGGAGGTGAGGAGGAGCCCA